CAGATAACACATAATTCAAATAGCCACTATCACAGCATGTTAGAATTCTCCAAAAGTCACCATGTCAACTCCATGGCAACACATAATTCAAACCCATAAATATATAATATAAAAGAAAGAATTCTAGTAACTAAAAGAATAAGAAGACCTTTTTACTTTCAGACGATGCTTGCTCAAGATAGGAAGATACGTTGAAATGAAAACTAATTGTACTCATTAAAAAATAATGAAATCAAACTAACTACTAACAGGCAACCAAAGCATTTAGCATATTACATTGTTGCTATTGCTAATAATGAAACAGAATATTCGATATCACTGTACTTATCCTTGCAATTGTGCAATTAATGTTCTTTGGACACAAAATAAAAGAGGTGCAGTATATTTCAACATGATGTCATATAAACAATTTACGTCAAACCTCTAGAAAAATAAAGTGTTGCTGAAACCGTTTGGTTTTGCTAGAGAAAACGCTGACATTTACAATGTGAATTGTTGAGTTAGCAACGGTTCCACAATATTGTCGGAATTTTTGAAGACCTGGGAAAATGCACAATTATTCTAAAAATTTGCCATCTTAGGAGCTAAAAATTTGACAGAAAAGTAGCCAATTAATAGAATCGTTTTTCAATGTACTATGCAAGAAAGAAAATTGTTCAAGTCTCTCAACTAGGGAGGACTTTTACACTCTTTTTCTTCCAAAAGTTTGGCATCAACAACGATTTCAGCAACAGAAAATAGTTCGCAAACAAAAAAGTGGTCGACAGGGGCTCCTAAACTGAAAGAATTTTTTATTACTGTTTCTAACTCATAGACTATGCCTCTACTCTTAAAAATGATTTCCTCAATATACCCAAGAGGCATCACTTGTAATCGTCAAACAGCAGAGAATTCTTGGCTAGACAAATATCATCATGCTCGTGTGAGTTTTGGCGAATTTGTCATAGTCTAGTATGAGGGGGTGGGTTGCCTAAGCCATAGAACAGAAAATCTTACCCCATCCCAAACTAGACGGGCAGAACTCCTGGAATAAATTTAGGTTGTTAAAATGATGTTTGGGGTAAATTGGTGCCATGGTTGAGGTCGCCTGGTTGTGGGCTTTCGACTGGTGGTGAGTTCCGTTCATGGTGGTGGCTGGATGTGGAAATTCCGACGAACTTCAGATTTGCAGGCCGCGAGCTTTGAGCAGCGATTCCGGCCACCATAGTTGATGAAATTGGGAGGTGTTGGGTGGTAAATGAAGAGGAGGTGAAAGGCTTTCCACCGGTATCAAGGTCTAGTGGTCTTCGTGGCCGTGGGTTTGAGAGAGAAGATGCCATTTTCATTTTTTTATNTGTGTGCTTGCTTCCCTTGGAGGCATCTTGTTCGTATCCAAACTGTAATCTTCATATTCGATAAACACCCCTTTTTGGGACTTTGTTCCAAGAGGTTTGTTCCTTACACAATCGTCTGATCCTCTTTTAATTGTTAGTGAGTAATCACGCGAAACACAATTACATACAGATGTATGTATATGCATTTATAGACAGATACATGCTTACATATAGATGCGTGTATATGCCCTTGTTTGGTATTGATTAAAATTAGATTTCTAACAGACTTTAATAAAAGTTGATGAAACATGTTGTTGAAAAATTGTGGGTCCCATGATTTATGTGGTTGAAATTAAGTATTCACTTTGATTTAGATTAAAATCTTGATTCTAATTTGTACCAAACAAGGGCTATATATGGAGGAAGAGAGAGAGAGAGAGAGAGAGAGATTTACTTGAGAACCATTATTGTTGCAATTGCTGAGTTTTCCGAGCTTTGTTTACACTTGGAATGGTCGAAAGGCGAAGACTAGAAAAGAGAGTTTCTCTTTTCAACTGTTAAGGAGGTTTGTCTTCTGGAACGAGAATTTGGGATCTAATTTGGGGGGTTTTGGCTTTTAGGACATATTAATTATGTGGTAAGTAATTTATTTAATTTTAAAGTGTATTATTCAGTTTGGTTAATTTAATAGAGTAGTGGACTTAATTTACCCAAGTATTAACATCCCAAAATATATCATTATTGGGTTTGTATATATTTATAATTTATACCTTCAAGTCCATATCTCTATTGGAAAATGTTTTCACATATTTCCATTGAAAACTTCTTTCCTTATCTTTATTGATTTTTCATAGTGCTCTTAGTAATCATGAAACATATTATTGTGTCTAAAACGTGCATAAATATCTTTCAGTTATATTATTGTGTTTAAAAACATATTATTAGTCATTATTAAACTAATAATTCAGCTTCGTGTTTTAATAGTTATGTGATCGATCAAACTATTTTGTTATGTAATAAGTTTTGAATATGATTGTATTTTGTTATGTAATAAGTATTGAATATGATAGTATTATCATTTAAAAATTTCAATAACACAAAATATTCTCAATATATTACAAAATCATGCGTGCAATATTGCACACGTTTTTCTTTTTTCTTTTTACTAATATTTGAAAAGTGCTCAACTTCAATAATTATAATTATGATTATAGCCCCTGTTTAGTTCAACTAAAAATTATATTAAAATATAAGTCAAAGTTAATAATTAATTTTAACATATTTAATGGGATCCACAATTTTCAACGATAAATTTCATCAACTTTTATCAAAATTTACTAAAAATCTGATTTTTATCTAAAATAAAGAGGGGCATAATGTCAAACACTATTAGTTGCAAAAGAAAAATTATAATTATAACTCAAGATTACATCAACACAAGCCTCTTTGATCAATACAACCATTTACTCAAAAATAACAGCTATGAATATTATACAAATCACTCAAGATTTATTCAAATTTGGAAGTATTTCAGATAAAAAAAAACTATATGTTCACACAGAGAGAGAGAGTTCGGATGAAGAGAGAATGAAAAGCCACCCAATCCAAACCCTAAACCGAGAGTAATATGGAAGTCACTAGAAGGTCATCCAATCCAACGGCTATTGGAGCGATACTTGATGACATCACATGCAATGAATCCATTTTGTAAAAAATGCACTAGTTAAAACACGCTTTTACAATAATGAAGCAGTAGCCACCAATTAATTAAAAATCCTGCCCAATCAGCCCAACAAAACAGTCAGCAAAATGGTAACATCAATGTGTCATTACTCTACAGATACCGTTAGTGTATTTCGGTTCTTCAATTACACCCTATTCTAAAACGTTAAATGCATATATCCATCGTAGTAGTCCAATCTACTTTTCCAAACTCGAGTCGAGCCGCAATTTAGAGTTTGAAAGATGAAAGCAAAAAATAATCACATGCACGTCCACAGTAACTCATGAATTGAAGCACAACCAGCTGCAATGCACCAACTCTATTAGTACATTACATAGAGCCAGCCAGCCATGCGGGCGCGTCTTTATCAATCATCCCATATATATCCTTTATAATTCCATCTATAGAACACCCCCAACTCTTGTCTCGTTTCTCAAATATCCCACCAATCCCAACCCCCTTTTTCTCATTCATTATCTTATATTAAAGTTCAATCATTCTAGCAAATGTCCACCTCTGAAATTTCATCATCTTCGCCAAATTCATTGCCTGAGGTTTCGGTTTCAGTTTCTACACAGAAAATTCAATTGGTGTCCAAATCAGTTTCGGAAAGATTACTTTTCAAGTTTTCGGATGTTTCAGAATTCGACTTTGATTATTCACGAAGTGGGCTATGGTCTCCTCCAATTAAAAGAAACGTGTTTATGAACTCGCCGGGACAGATTTTCACTGAGCACGACATGGCGGCCAAGTTAAGAATTGCATTGGAAACGCAGCATCCTCGGAGAAGGGGATCTCGCCTTTCTTCTTCTTTTAATGTACGTATTTATATATATAATATACATTCCTGCACGTATTTTCTTTATCATGCTTATTTATACTGTTTTGCAGGCATGCTTGTGTTCTCCAAAGAGATGCTGATTGATGCTCATGAGGCATGCTTGTATCATTTTATAATTTCATTAATAAATGTAAATTCTTTTCTCACCATCTCTATGAAAATTTAGCTATAAAATTTTATGTTTTTCTTGGGTACATCAAGTTCTATCAGACAACAATAATTAGGCATGAATTCGTACGTTATATTGGATAATAATTGGATGACAAAAACAAATAATTCATGTATTAAAGAAAGATATCAAAACTATGTTGTCTCTTCTCTTAACATCATCAAAATTACTACAGTATTTAATTTATATTTGCGAAAAAAATTATAAATGGTGTGTTGGAGGCAGCGAGGAACAAAATTCAATTCAATTATGCCCACAACCATTATTTGAAAAAAAAATAATATTTGAAATAGTAATTTTTAGAAGAATGTGTGGTTAAAAAGTATGGAAAAATTTTGAATTTATGTGCAGAATATTTTAGTCCTTGTTTAATAATCATTATTCAAAAACTCTTTTTTATGTACTCATTTTCAACCACAAATTCACGTAAGTCCAAAATTTTTCCTTATTTTTTAACCAAACATTCGCCAAACTATCACTAATCAAAAGTTTGTTTTTGTCAAATAATGATAATCAAACAAGATTTTATTGTATGAATATATGATTGAAAATAAGTACGGAAAAAGTAGGTTTTCAAATGATAGATCGTAAAACAAGGACTAAAGTCTTTGGATTCCTCGTAGTCCAACCCCACCACATTTTCTGATATGTGACAGTACCACTGTGATGCCAGTAATTTGGTCTTATGTGAAGAAGAATCCCAACAGTTCCTTTCTACACGTCATTATTAAAATTATAGCATTGCCATTTGTTTTTTAATTTTCTATTTTATCTAAAAAAATTCAATTATTTTATAGGTACAGATTTTTTGACAGGAAATTTTGACCAATAACACTTGACAAGACAACATTAAAAGATTGAAAAAACGGTCATTCAGGTTTGGTCACGTTAGCTTCTGTGTCAATTCTGTCAAAATTTTCTTATATTTAGAGCTTTATTAAAAAATTATTGCACACTAAACTCCAGACACAAACATTATTGCAACTTCGTCTCAGCTTATCAGTTTTGTTACTTCTTGACTGATGAATTGTACATTTTGGCTTGTTAATTTCTAGTCCCTTGCTAGCTCCTCTTTTTTCTTTTCTTTGTTTTTTAAGTCGAAGCAGGTAGCCTGAATTTTCACTGACATAATTTCAGCAGAATCTAAAACATTAAACGCATCTAAAAAAAAAATTCAGACACGCAAAACCTGTCCCGTTCGCTATTATTTGAGTTACTCCGGCAGAACAAGTTGAGATAGCATTTAATTTGAATCTCTGTCTGGTCAAACAGAACCACTGAAATTCTTAGTACAAATCAAGCATTAAAATTACTCAACAATTAACACGGTTATATTTGGTTTAGCTTTAAAAAACTAATAGTTAAGTAAAATAAAATTACTTATTTTTACGTTGATTAATAGGAAAATTTAAGCTACTGTTTAAATCAGAAAAACGCACTTTATAGAATTTGTCATTTGTCAAATTGTGAATCTGGACTGACGAAAATCTGATAGCTGTACCTTCAAATTTTGAACTGTCGTTGAAACGAAAAAAAACAGAATAAAAATTGAATTTTGTCAAGAAAAGACGTACTGGTAAAATTCTTTCCATCCAGTCAGTCAGTACATCCGGTGTACTCATTCTATATTTTAGCTATGCCACTTTCAATGAGATGACCCCATCACGGGATGCTCATTTGCAACTTGTATTGTACCTCAAATCAGACTTCAACGTCACTTTTATACGGTCATTTTCACCTTGGAAAAAATTTCCACGCCAATAAATGTAATAGAACCCTCACCCCGAGTCCCGACCCCCACCCCTCTTAACTGTAAAGAGGCATTTAGGGTAGAGGGAGTGGGGGGGGGGGGGGGGGGGGTTAGCAAATGTATGTCCGAAGTCCATTTAGTTTTCTCATGTTAAAAATAAAATTTTGGTAAATTTATAAAATGAAACTACACGGAACACCTGTTATAATTGCAAGAGGAAGTTTGGAAAGTGAACTTTTATAATCACTTCTGATTAGATATATTTTTTATTTTCATAATTTATAGAACCCATAACTCTAAATCATTTCCCAAAGAAGTAATAGACTTCCCATTCCAATTTCCTAACAGAGGACTTCAAGATTTCAGGCGACGGCAATAAGAAACCTAATTTGTGAAGTTTGATAGTAGTAACATCAAAATGTATTCAAACACAAATCACAACCATCCTCCATCCCCCTGGGCCCAAGAAAAAACGAATCTTTAGAAACATTTATTGGAGATTTGATCAGTTAAGTTTTTCCCTATACCGTGCAGCACATGGTTGTAGAAGATAGCCTATCAGACTCCTATTCTTCTTTAATAGGAAGAAGACGTATCAAATACGAAGCGACAAAAAAGAAAGTATAGTCTACAAGAAGGTCCATAGACAACGGGTCAACCGTCTTATAGATTAGGCTGACATACTTGACATTCTTTATTACAAACGTTACATCAATCATTCCTAAAAATTTTCTACAAATCTTGTAAGATACAGTTTCGGCTTTAGGGACTTCAGAGGAATTGAGGGATTCGGTCGGAGGGAGCTTTGTATTGGTGGTCTTTTGTGTGAAGAGCTTCGACTTCTTCTTTGATTTCTTACATAGCGCTTCGACTTGAGAGCTTCGCATTTAGGCAGTACTTTGGCACATGAGTTTCAGCCTTTGTTTCACTTCTTTGCATTTGATCAATTGGGTCTTTGTTAACTTTCCTTTTCATGTGGACTGTGACATTGCACTTTGATTGAAGCTTCGATGGCGAGGCGTAACAAGTGTCCCCCAAGTCTAGGTTTGATCATTTATATTATAGTTAGAATTTGAAAGTATGTGATTAGCATAAATTGCCTATCAATGTTGTCCAAAATTGTGTACTTTGTGACTTCTGAATTTCTGGGATAAATTGAAGAAACATTAGCAGGACTAAATTTTTCCGAGGCTGTTCTCTCTAAAGTGGTTTGTACATCTGAAGCCTTACCCAAAGCTGTTGAGGTGAAGTGCATCTGCTACTTGTCGAGGCCGTGACTCATTCATTATCGAGAACCATGTTTTTCGAAATATTTGGAAACACGAGGCATCCTTAATTGTTGCGCCCAAATGATTTGTTGTTTCGTACGTTTTCAAGAAAAGATAGTGGAGTGGTTCGTCTTCCCATACACGCAATCGCTACCACATTTAACAAAGATGGCTGTCATATTCGTGTCCTATGAAATTTAGAAGCATTAGAGCGAGTGATGTAGACGTATTATATATGGGCCATAAAAGAAGAAGCGTCCGATGTACTGAGTGGCTCAGATTCAAATCTCAAATGAACGGTTGGATGATCCGAAACGACATCTAAGGGCTGAGATTAAGAGCTTCTATCTATAAAAGGTAACACTTTTGGAGCAAAAATTCATTTTGACTTTACGAAATTTGCATTCCAATCCTCTAGATCTGTCATTCTCATTTATTCTCATTCCCTCATATTTGCAAACTCCGGTGACTTTTCTTTACCGTTCTTTGTATAATTTGTAAGTATTTTGGACCTTTAACTCAAAATTTAATGGCACCTTTACATTCTGATGTGGGGATGTGGATCTTAGCCAAATGACTTCTGAGATAAGGATGACAATAACAAACACGACCAACCTAGTTTGAGCCATTAGGGCTCGACAAAATAACTTTCCTTCAGGGGAGAGTAGGAGAAATGACGGGACGGTTTGGGGGTGCCAAAATTCCTTCAACTATAAACGCATCCCACATAGCAAACTTGAGGAAAAAATATCGTATCCCATATGAAATCGAACTTCTATCCCCCTCTTCTGACGTGCGAGCCTACTTTGCAAGACACGAGTACATTGCTATCAACAAGTTCTTCCTTAAGGCAAGACTTCGTCTGCCTTTCACACCTTCTTTAGAGCCATTCTTAGGTTGTACAACCTGGCTCCCACCTAGCTCATTCCCAATGCTTGTGCCCAATTAGTGGGAACCTACTTCCTGTGGAAGGAGATCTCCTTCGGAGACGACATGCCCTCTCCTCCTTGTCTTCCAGACCATTTTCCAATCCCGAGTTTTGGAAAAAAAAAGATTCTAAGGGTTGGTACTCATTTTGTCGTGGGGGGTTAAATTCTCCTTTTGTTTTAGGCCTTCCCTTCTCCATTAAAGGATAAAATGATATGTGGTTTTGGTGATGGGAAAAGGCAGGAGTACAATGGTAACAGCATTCCCCACGTGACAGTTCTGACCTCATACTCAGAAGCTTATGAGTGTTGTACTTACATTTGGTGTTCATTAATGTTGATTTTGATAATAACTTTTTTTCAGATGTTTGCATGGTAGGTAGAGCGCTTCGAGCTCAATCAAAGTGAATAGGAGTTGGTTGAGGAATTCTACTGACGTCCTTCATCATTGCAAGAGTTTGACCATTTAATCATCTCCAAACGATTATTAGAATAATTATGTTTAATAGCCCAATGAGGTAATACCAATTTTCACTAAGTTCCTTGGGGCCCTATATAAACTATTGCTGATCTTATTTGTCTTTTTGAAGAGAACTTTGAAAAGATAAGGCATCCCACCCCTGATTTAGCTAAGATCCTTGCTGCCACCTCCAGTGCTAGGAGGACAGGGCTGAAGTCCTCATCTGTTGAAGAAAAACAAGTGAGGGAACAAGTCGAAAAAGATCAACTATGTAGTTGGAAACCAAGAAGGAGAAAGACGACCTCCCGTGAAGGACAAGGGCAAAAATATAGTCGAAGAAGTCCCCAAGAAGAAACATCGCTTCTCCACCATCGGAGAGGGTGGGGTTAATGGCCACTCCATCCTCTCACTCTGAAGTCCCTGCCGGGGAAAACTAATGAAGCTTCGGCGAATGGGAGGGCCAAAAAAGGCCAACTGCTATGCAATCATTAGGGTAAGGGTCGTCAA